GGCTTTTCAGAAATATTCGAACATGGAGCAGTCTCTCTTCACTCGCTTTGTCCGTGTTGGAGTTCCTACTGTGGGTCTTGATGCTCAGGGTAGAGCCAGAGCAAGCTTGTGTAACCTCTACAACTGGCGGTACAAGAACCTTGGAAACTTACCCCATCTGCAACTCTTGCCAGAGTTCAGCACGGCAAATGCCGGCTTGCTGTATGACTTCCAACTCATCAATGTGGAAGATTTTCAGGGAGTGGGAGAATCTGAACCTAATCCTTACTTTTATCAGAATCCTGGAGAGGCAGAATATGTAGTAGCACTTTTTATGTATATGTGCTTACTTGGTTACCCTGCGGACAAAATTAGTATTCTAACAACGTACAATGGGCAAAAGCATCTTATTCATGACATCATCAATAGACGATGTGGGAATAATCCATTAATTGGAAGGCCAAATAAGGTGACAACTGTTGATAGATTTCAAGGTCAACAGAATGACTATATTCTTCTTTCTCTAGTACGAACAAGAGCAGTGGGTCATCTGATGGATGTTCGTCGCTTAGTGGTGGCCATGTCTAGAGCTAGACTTGGACTCTATATCTTCGCTAGAGTGTCCCTCTTCCAAAACTGTTTTGAATTGACTCCAGCTTTCAGCTAACTCACAGCTCGTCCACTTCATTTGCATATAATTCCAGCAGAACCTTTCCCAACCACTAGAAAGAATGGTGAAAGACCATCTCAAGAAGTACAGATAGTGAAGAACATGCCCCAGATGGCGAACTATGTGTATAACATGTACCTGCATTTCATACGGACCACACATCACTATCACCAGACTTTCTTACAACTACCACCTGCTATGGTAGAAGAAGGGGAGGAAATTCCAAGCCAAGAAACAGAACTAGAAACAGAAGAAGATGCCATGGCTGCTCAAGATGACATCATACCCAGTCCAGCAGATGCCAGCTGCAGTCAGGAGATCCCAGCCTCTCAGCCTGACACCGCCTCTGGGCAGGCTAAGGCTGCCCTTGATCAGGCTGAGATGACCCCTAGCCCATCAGAGGCCACCCCTACTGTGTATGAGATGACTGCAGCGTCAGCAGGTCCTGCTGCTGCACAGGCAGAGGCTGCCACCCCTCAAGATACCACACCCACCCTAGAAGAGACAGAGTAGCCAAACTGCAGCCTTCCTGGGAGGCCATTTCACTCATACAGTTACTACTTTATAGTTTACATTTGCTCCTACTGTTTAAAAGGCACTAACTGATGTTCAGTCCTTTTGTTAACTGGTTTTGTTATGTATAGTTCTTGTACATATCTTTAAAAATTGTATATGGACAACTCTTTTTTTTTTCATTTGTTAAGTCCGGCAAATAACCATTCCCCTGGTATTTTGATCACTGAAAAATATATCTGTAATCCTATGCACATTAAAATAATTTTCTGTAGAAAAAAAAAAGGCATTAGGAATGATACATGATTTCACTTAACAAAGTAACAGGAATTCAACAATGGTTGCTGTATTACCTGATGCTATCTTCAAAGTAGTTGTTCAGATTACCAGATATAAATGTATGAGATTCTTTTTTTTTTTTTTTTTTTTTTTTTTTGTATTTTCGGGAAGGGTCTAAAGTGTGTTCAGGGTCTCACTACTAGATCAGACTCATAGTGATCTGCCTGTTTACAGCCTACCAAGAACTGGGATTACAGGCATGCACCACCATGCCCAGTCTCAATTGTTGCCTCAGCATGCCCTGGGGTCAGGGCCAGCACGGCAGGCCTGGGGATCAAACCCCCAGCCCCTGGGCCTGCTTGCAGGCACTTTAATCCACTGAGCTATTTGACAGGCCCTGAGATTCACTTAAAGAAACAAAACAAAACAAAACAGTAACAAAGAAGTTATAGGAAATTGAAAAGATGAAAAAATCAGAGTAAAAAATTTAAGCCCTTAACTGCTCCTTTCTAAAGACCAGCAGAAACTGACAACATAATTATCCAAATTATTCTGTATATATACTTAAATATATCTTTTTTACTTCTTTCATTTGTCTTTTTCCTTATCCAGTTTTTCTTCCCAATGAGCAATTTCTTTTCCTTTCACAGTATCTGTTGTACCTTCTAGATTTTAATCTTTCAGGTTCTCACACTAGTGAGATAATACAATGTTTGTATATATGGATCTCATTTATTACACTTACCAGTAGTGTCTCCCTGCATCCATTGATCTACAAATGCCTCAAATTTATCTTTTTCTATAGCTGAATAATATTCCATTTTGTAAAAAAAAAAAGCACATCTTTTTATCCATTTCTCAGTTGGTGGGCATTTAGGTTATTTCCATGATTTAACTATGACAAATTAACCTGCTGTAAACATGGGCCCACATATATTGCTGTGGTCTGATGATTTCAGTTCATTTGGAAAAATACATAGGAGGAGAACAGCTGACTTGAGTGGCACCTCTAATCCTACCTTTTTGAAGAGTCTCCATAATGATTTCCATAGTGGTTGAACCAGCCTCCACTCCCACCTACAGTGGAAAAGGGTTCCTTTTTCCTCACAGTCTCTCCAGTATTTGTTACTTATGGACTTCCTGATGATAGTCACTCTTTCTGCTGTAAGATGGTATCTCAGCATTGTTTTAATTTGCATCTCACTTTTTTAGTACAAGGTCTTGCTGTGCAGCTGGGACACATAATGATCCTCCCCAGTGCTGGGATTACAGCATGTACCACCATGCCCAATTTCAGTGGCCAGCTTGGTGTGGGACTCGCGTGGCATGTGGTACTGGGTATTGAACCCTGGTCCTTGCACTTGTCAAGTAGGCACTTAGACCACTGGGCTATCTCTCTGGCCCTAATTTGCATTTGTTGAATGACAAATGATGTTGAAGTTTTTTTCATATATTTATTTGTGATTTGTACAATGTCATTTGTGAAGTGTGTATTCACCTCAGATGCCATTTTTTGATTATGTCTTTAAATTTTGTAGGTCTGATCATTTTTAATTCTTTATATGTTCTTGCTAGGTGTTTTTTGTCTGAAGGATAGACTGCTGAAGGATAATTGTTTCCCAATTTGTGGGTTTTATTTTTACTCTGCTGGTGATTTCTTTTGATGTGCAGAATTTTTTCAAAAAGATGAGATCCTAATTGTTGATTTTTTGAAGTATTTCCCATGCAGCTTATTTTTTGTTTATGAACTCTTTACCTACTCCTATGTCCATAAGGCTTGTCCTGACATTCTTGTCCAGAGCATTCAGTGTTTCAGCTTTAATATTTAAATCTTTGATCCATTTTGACTGTGTTTTTGTGCATGGTGATTGGTATGGGTGTATTTTAAGTCTTCAACCTTTGGAAAGCCAGTATTTCCAGCAACATTTATTTAAGAGGCTATCTTTCTTTCAATGAACATGTTTGGCCACTTTGTCAAAGATAAAGAGCCTCAGTAGGGTTGTAGTTGCTTCTACATGTTCTAATCTGTTCTACTGATCCTTGGGTCTGTTTTTTGTTTGTTTTTTGTTTTTTGTTTTCCAGTACCATGCTCAATTTATCAAAGTAGCTTTGTAGTATAATTTCAACTCAGGCATTATGATGCCTCCTGCCTTTCCTTTGTTACTTGGGATTGCTTTTACTATCCTAGGTCTCTTCTGGTTCCAGATAAGTTTTAGGAATGTTTTCTCTAGATCTGTAAGGTATACTAATGGTATTTTAACTGGATTGCATTTCTCTATAACAATTTTGGAGTATGGCCATTTTCATAATATTGGTTCTTCCTATCCCAGAGCAAGGAATACCTCTCCCTTTTCTGAGACCTTCTTTGATCTCTTTTTTCAGAGTACTATAATTTTTGTTGTATAAATATTGTACTACGTATGTGAGACTGATTCCTAAGTATTTCATTTTGGGGGGTATTATTGTGAATGGCATAGTTTCAATAATGTATTTCTCAGTGTATTCATTGTTTGTGTATGAAAATGCTCTTGATTTTTGAGTGTTGACCTTGTATCCTGCTACACTACTGAATTTGACTATTAAATCTATAAGTCACTTAGTGGAGCTTTTGGGGACTCCTATACAGTATAATGTCATCTACAAATAATGATAATTTCACTTCTTCCTTTCCAATCAGTATTCCTTTTATTTCTTTCTCTTGACTAATTGCACTGATTAATGTTTCCAGAACTATATTGAACAGGACTTATAACAGTGGGCATCCTTGTCTTGCTCCTGGTTTAAAGTAAAGACTTTCAATTTTTGTCCATTAAGTATAATATTGGTTGTTGTTTGTCATGAATGGCTTTTACCAGGTTGAGGTATTTTCATATCTATGAAAATTTATTTATATTTTCTATAGTGTTTTTGTCATGAATGAGAGTTGGACTTTGTCAAAAGCTTTTTCTTCATCCATTGCGATAATCATGTGATTTTTGTCTTTGGTTCAGTTAATGTAGTGTGTTACTGTTATGGTTTCACATATATTGAACCATCCTTGCATTCCTGGGATGAATCCCACTTGGTCCTGTTGTATAATCTTCTTTCTGATTTACTGCATTCTGCTTACTAGTATTTTAATGAGGATTTTTGCAATTATATTCATTAGAGAGATTGGCCTGCAATTCTCTCTATTGGTTAGGTCCTTCTCTGGTTTGGGTATCAGAATAATACTTGACTCCCTGAATGAGTTTGGGAGAATTGCTTTTTTTTCAATTTCTTGAAGAGTTTGAGAAGAGTTGGCATTAGGCCCTCCCTAAATTTCTTGTGGAATTTGGCTATGAATCCATCAGGACCCGGGTTTTTCTTTGTTTGAAGGTTTTTTATTACATTTTTGTTTCATTGGATGATACTAGATTATTCAAGATTTTTACATCTTCTTGATTTAGCTTCAGTAGTTCACAGGTAACTAGGAATCTGTCCATTTCTTCTGTATTTTCCGTTCAGTGAAAGTAATGATTTTGAAACTAAGTACTAACAATCTTCTGAATTTCTATAGGATCTGTAGTGATTTCACCATTTTCATTCCTCATTGCATGAATTTGAATCTTTTCTTTCCTTTTTTATTGAGTTTTGTTAGGGTCTTATCAATTTTATTCATTACTTCAAAGAACTAACTCTTTATTCCTTAATTCTTTCTATTGTTTTCTTTGTCTCCATTGCATTTACTTCTCCTCTGATATTTATAGTTTCCTGCCATCTTTGGGCTTTCAACTTGACTTGCTCTTCTTTTGCTAGGAGTTTGAGGTGTAGCATGAGATTCTTTACATGGGCTTGTTCTGTTTTCCTGATGTAAGAATTTATCACTAAAATTTTCTCTCTTAAGACAGTTTTCATTGAATCTCACAGGTTCCAGTAAGGTTTACCTGCATTTTCATTAAATTGTATATATTGTTTATTTCCTCTTTAATTTCATCCATGAACCATTGGTTGTTGAGGAGGGTACTATTCAGTTTTCATGTGTTTATAGAGTTTTTGCTGTTTCTTTTGTCAGTAATTTACAGTTACTTTACACTATGGTCTGATAATATACATAGGATAATTTTGCTTTCTTTGCATTTACTTTAGCATGTTCTATGTGATAGCACATGATCTATTTTGGATAACATCCCAATGCAGCTGACGAAAATTTGTTTTCTAACATTGTTGGGTGGAACACTCTACAGGTCTACTAAGTCCATTTATTCACAAGTTTCATTTAGTTCTGTTATTTCTTTTTTTTTTAATTAGAATATATTTTAAAAATAGGCATAAAGAATTATGTACTTCTCATGTTTGCACATAAGTCCAAAAATCTCACCATATGCAACCTTGAAGCAGTACAGTCCCACAATAAACCTTTTCCTGTCTCTCGCTTTCTTTCACCACCCCCTTCTTCTTCAACAACCATCTACCTGAGAGACATCATAGCAGCAACTGACATGTCATGACAAGCAGCCCATGTTCAGTAGACCAGAATGACATACACCCCACGCATGACACTACTATTACAAATTACCATCTGGAGTGCAGTAGCTTAGTTCACAGGTATCAGTATATATAGTTAGTCAGGGTGAGAATCTTTCCCAATAGCTGCTAGATTAAAAAATCTTCTGAAGATCCTCAGGATCATTGCCTTGCCCACATATATCACTATGATATGATGTTTTCAGATCCTCTGGGAAAATTACCAGTAGAGAAATAGCTGGTTTAAAGGGGATTTCCAGACCAAATTTTCTAAGGAGTCTCCATACTGATTTCCATAACTGTTGCGCCAGTCTACATTCCCACCAGCAGTGGAGAAGGGTTCCTTTTTCCCCACAGCCTCTGCAACATTTGTTGTTGAGTTATTTCTTTATGATAGCCATCCTTTCTGGGGGGAGATGGTATCTCAATGTTGTTTTATTTTGCATTTCATGGATGGCTAGTGATGTGGAGCCAGTTTCTCCAACACCACTTGCTAAAGAGGCTA